AAACTACCTCTCGAAATCGATTGAATCACAATGCCTTTAACCCTGAATTCGCCATTGTTGACTACGTGCCACTGCTATACAGGGTGTCTCGCGAGGATTAACCCATGGGCCATTGCGATATCTCACGAAGTAATGGATATATCAAGATTCTGGTTTTGTAATAAGACTCACAGGGATAAAAATTAMAGTTATTTCATTTTTTAATTTATAGTAATRTTTTGGTAAGAATTTTTAAAAAATATATTTTTTTATTTATTTATTTCAAAAAAAATTAAAGATAGCCATTTTGTAGAGTTTATTTTTTTGAAACTATTGACTTTTCAAAATTGTACTTTCATTAATATCCTGATTTTAAATATTTTGTCTAGTTTTGCAGAAATAAAATATGATTATAACTAACTAGACACACAGAAAACGTCCGGTCAGCCGGGCGAGCACGGGCGCGACACGGCGAGTGACATGTTTGATAACACTATATAGGTGTTAAATAATTTGCAACTTTTCTCGAAACTAAAAAAAAATTAAAAATCAGGAAATTAATAAAAATAAAATTATGAAATGTCAATATTTTCAGGAATAAACTCTACAAAATGGCCATAATCGATTTATTTGGAAATAATTAAGTAAAAAAAATTTTTTTGACTTTTTTATTTCAACATTAAAATATGAAATAATTGTAGTTTTTATCCGTGTGAGTCTTATTACAAAACCAGGATTTTGATATATCCATTATTTTGGGAGATATGTCATATAGTGATATAGTAAATCCTTGCGGAACACCCTATATAGTTATTATACTATATAGTAAGCATATTGTAACTTTTATATAAAATAAAAACAAAAAAACTGGTTAGGTTAGGTAAATCTCAGGGCCAAACGCGTATAGTATAGGTACGTTTGTATGCTGCAATCTAATGAATTTTCCCTATTCTTTACCAACAATACTATAAATATCCAYGTGTAATGGAAAACCGCCGCAGTCCACGTAAAACTACAGTGCAAACGAATTAGCCTAATTTGCTAAACGGATTATAGTAATTTTTCGATCTTAATTATTGGGAATATTGTATCAGTTTCTATTTTAATTACAATACTATATGTTTTTATCTTGAATAAACACGATATTTTGTCCCGTTAATTAAAAAAGTTCGAATAGTGAAGTTTCCACTAAATCGTTAAGATTAAAAAAGTGAAAAAAATTTACGCATAACAGGTAACAGCATTTTTCAAATTAAACACGAAATAGTTTTAAATTTTAATTCCGATTTAATTACAATAACTCTTTATTTTATTTTTAAAAATTTTAATTAACATTTTATTTGGTTTTTTTTTAACTTTATTTATAAAAAAATATGTAGTCAAAAAGATATAAMATACAATTAGAAATGATGAATTTAAAACATGTAAATTGTTCTCTTAATGCATAATAAAATATGTATAGTTAAAAATAAATTGTATTCATTGTAATCATTTCTGATTCGTTCAATTTTTGTATTTAATTTTATTATTGCCCTTTGATACATTCATTTCTAAAATGTATTCATTATTTTAATTATTATATTTCTATTAATATT